TTTTTGTCATATTGTATAGCAGAGGCGAAATGAAAACATGATATGCCAGAAGAGAAAAATTCTTCGTTTGCTGAAAATATTAACATAAAATGCACCTGAACAGAATTCAGTTTTATATAAGTTTATTCTACGTAAAGAAAGATCAGTTAATGTAGATGAAACTTCAATCAGTTCAAAGTCACGTTCATTGAAGCTGCTTCCTAAGATTGTTTCTTCACATAGATTATAGCCCATGGGAAACAAAAGCCTCAGATTCTTCAAATCCCATTGGAAATCCTGTGTTCCAGTAAAAGCATTTCCAGCTCGTAGAATCAATAAGGCACTTTCCTGCTTAGTAAAAAATGAAGGAAATATACGTGACTGGATTTTTAGGATGAGCATTAAAGCAAACTTTTCCCCTCCCTTCTCTTGACAAAATTCCCTTTCTTTAAAGACCATTTATTTCTCTTGAAACTATTTTGTATTTGTTATAAATATAATAAAGTTTTCCCATCTTTAGCTTTGGGGCATTACATTAATATAAGAAAGAATTTCTTAGTATTCCTATACAAAGAAGTGCTTTTATGAGTCAGCACAGAAAGGAGGAAGTAAAGGTAACAATAATAAATGGAATTTTTTTAACTTTGAAAAAATAAGAAATGGGAGGATTTCATAGGGATTAAAGTAATTATTTCCCCTAAATAATCTTGTAGGTCGACGTTACGACAATCCGTATTTTATAAGTCCAAAAGCGCAAAACTTCATGTATGATACATGCATCAGGAGATTTTGTAAGGATATGCATGAAGGGTACGGCCCTCATACCCGTTCTTTGCACCATTTTTCCCGAAACTTAACGGTGGTTTCGACATGTGGCTGCTTGCTTGTCTTGATGCAATTCTACTGATTTATGGCACTGTGGGTAAGAAAGGTATTTCGTATTTGAAAATTGTGTAAAAAATATTTTCCTGAAAATATGTGGAATCAATCTTAACGCTTTTATCCACTCTCTTTATTTTTAATCTTTCGTTATATGGGAAACCAGCTACAATCATAAATCTCTTTAATCTCTTTGAAAAAAACGTTCTTTAGGTTTTTTGAACAAAGTTTTAAATCCTGTTTGATGATAATAAATGGATTTCTTTTTATTTCAGTCATTAAAATACATCCAAGGTTTATCTATTGTGACATCATTTTTCCATTTTTGTCGAGATAAATGTTTCTCATAAAGAATTCTGCAGCACGTTCTGCGTACGGCGATATGTCGTGGAGAAAGACGACGCATATTATGGTTTTACACCTTTTTAAGAATCATATTAGATTAATCATTTTGTTTACAGTTGACACAGAATATTTTAATGACTTTGCAGCTATCCTTAGACATAGTCAATCGTCTTTTGACAGTAAATATTATACCTTTGTAACACTCGAAATATTCCGTTTTACACGGGGGGGGGGGGGAAGGTGAGGATGTATTTGGAACAATTTTTCCGTTTGAAGACAAACTCTGACTTTTTTTTCTTTCTTATTCAGAATATTACCTATAGTGGCTTTAAATTAAAAATTAAAAACCATGGATTTTACAGCGTTTTTATTAACTATATTTGAATAATTTTCCTCGGAAAGAGCACAAACATAACCTTTCATCCATTGCTGCTTTCAAAGTGGTATGTTTCATGAAAACAAAACTGTCAAGTAGCAGACAATAATGTATACTTTCAAAAATATACTTGCATTTAAAGAAACTTGTTCTATACAGACAACGTTTTTATATCAAAGTAAAATCGTCTAAAAATGTGCGAACAACATCTGTCAACTTTTCCCTGACTTTGTAGATACTTTCAGACATAGCGATACGTCTCTTAAAAGTTTTGGACTAGTTGACTTTCACTAGATTAAGGAGAACCTCATAATATATTAATTTTGTCTACATTTAGGCTTCGGTGTTTATTTAAAATTTTATTTTCCATCTCGAAGTAATTTTAACTCACTAAACCCTTGATTGCAAAAATTATTCTTCGACAGCTGAAGAAAAACTAACAGTGTAAGCAAATCCCTTCAGGATTCTATATTATTGATAGTTACTCCACTATAAAGTACACCTAGCGAAGAAATTCCAAACATTAAACAATTTTCATTTCCTTGTACGAAGTATTGTAAGCTAAAAAAAATTGGGGATCATATTTCAATGGAAATATTCATTTTAACTGTTCCCAAATACATTTCGACGATTTTTTGTGTGATGTGTGTACATGCAGACAAAATAAAATACTATTAGTTCCAAAAAAGATTGTAAATAGATTCGAAAGATATTTTTGTGACGTCTTTAAGCACATAAGTACATACACCTCGCATACTCAATTCACAACTGCTATTTTGTGCATGGGGCACCTTGGTTTTATATATATGCTACAGTGAAACACCGAAATCTGGAGAATGTCGACTTTCACTGGTGAATGTCAACAATCCGAAAGTCGCTTGGTGTATGTCCGAAATATTTTCCAAATACTTATTTCTGAGTTACACCGGTAAATTTCGACATTCACTATGTACTAATGGTAAACGTTGAACATATAACAATATTATATTTTCTTCTCCGTAATTCAGTCGCGTAAAAATGCACTTGAGACTTAAAATAAGAACATAAGAACTTAAAGCACACAGTACATTCAAAATGAAAAAGGAAAATAGTAATAGAAGTTAAAACTTACTAAATTATGTGATTTAAATATTATTTATTGCAACAACTTAAACTATTATGACACTTTGAATTGCACAAGAGGTCCTTGCTTTTACAATTGCATTTATTTGTGGAAAACTTCCTTTTGCAATGACAGCGTGTAAATATACTTCTCTCTTTTCGACCTACACCAGAGAATATCTGTGATTGTCGACATACAGAGGTGAGGGTCCGAATGTACAAGAATGTAATGCAATACTCGATGTTTCACCGACTTAATTGGTGAATGTTGACATTCTCTGGTGAAAGTCCACATTCTCCAATTTCGGTCTTTCACAGTAACATATATATAGTATATTTACTCATACCTCTTACGCACTTTAAAAGACCTTATTCAACCTTTATTTTCCCAATCGTTATTGTAGTCATATACTTCAGTTGCAGAAGTGTTTTAAGTAATGAAAATGTTCATGTTTTTACAATGTCAAATTTTTCAAAAAATTAATTTTGGACAAATAATAGAATATAACTTTTAATGCGGTTTGTCGATTTCCATACTTACATTTGGGGAAGTCTTGTACTCGTTATGAAAAATCAAAAATAGAAGATGTTTTAAGAATTCTATTATTTTATGTTTTAGTAGATTGTGGTATAATTAATAGGCATTTTCTTAAAATATCTAGAAGAATTCTAAAGCTATATATTATGTCCAGAATAAATTAATGCTAATTGCCATTTCAGCTGGCAAAAGATTTCATAAAAATATTGTTTAAAGGTTTTATAGGAATATTCTGTTTTCATGATACGTTGCATTACATAAAATAACATATATCACAATAGTGCAAAACAAAACAGTATTCAACAAAGTGATATAAAACACAATACAGGTATTAAAACCTTGATACACTACGAAATAATAATAATATAAAACATTCCCATTTAATCGGGGACCACGCCGATTACTAATCCAACGGCAACTATAAAAACGAGAAAGAGAAAATTAAGTTTGTGGATTCAAAAATTGTTCATTCACTGCTGAAATACGTTCCCTGAAGTCTTTCAATAGGATAATATAATACGTATTTATTTGTAACAATTGGATTTTTTATAAAAAACATGTAACATATCCCCCAAGATTAAGAAAATAATTCAGGTCTCTACTGAAATCTAATTTTTACTTTCAAAAATTTATGGTAGATTTGTTTCTACATAACATACATTCATTCATTATGTCCGTACTAGTGTCCATGCAAAGCTATGTTTCTCACAAAAATTACAAATGTTCATGTTTTGATCAAACATTGTCTGTATGCGAAATCGATTAAAACCTATATTTGCTATCAGATCAGGGATAGAAATTGTGTGTACTTTAAAATATTTTACTTTCATTTGCAAGATTTTCCAGAGTGTTACTAAAACACTGGAAAGTTTTGATTTATCAATGATAAGTAATTTTTGAAGAAAGTAAAATTTTGCAGTTATAAGAGGAAGCAAAAAGAATGAAGTTACTTAAGAAATATGTAAATTATTTTAAAAGAAATTTTTTCATATTAATTCATTCAAGAGTTTATGCAAAAGAACTCTTAAATCTCAAATCGTTTTACTACAAAGAGGCATGAGAATGTGATTACTGTCTTTTAAGTCAAAAATTTTCTTCATCAATGCCAATTTTTATACATTTAGCATTATGAGTAACTGGAACTTCCCATTCATACTCATGGTGGTTGTCAACCGTATTTCGAAATGTATAATAAAACTATGAAAATTATTATTTATTTAATATAAAATAAAACTATTTTTTATTATTTCAAATGTTTTTGTTTCATTAAATATGGTAAAACACACGAGAACTATATATCTAAATTAGAAATGCTATCGTGGAAAACTTTTCAAAGACATCTATTCAAGGAAAGTCGAAAAAACTCATGCAGGTAAACCGTTTACAAGGATTTGAAACCAGTTCGAATAACCACAGTTGCACGATGTCTGATATTAAGCTACTAGTATACTAGCTGTCAAATAATAATTCAAATAAAATTCTAAAATTTAAGTTTTTTCTTCAGACGTTAATTCATAATAAAAACGTCTGGTACTTATTTTAATCAATTTCCAAAATGCGTAGATTTTCTTTGGTGTGTATATGAATTTTTGCAACGAGAGAACGTATGTAATTCTGTATTATCATTTGTTTAGGTTGCCATAAACATGTAAAAACCTTTGCAAAGAGTATAGCAAATACTACAAAATGGAAAAACTGAAAAAAAGCTTAAAAAAAGGTCTAAATTTTCTTAAAATATAAATTACCAAATTTTAAAACTCAGTAATTATAACATTACTCAAATTCAAATAACAAATCCAGTTTTATTGAATCTCAGTTTTATACACATGGTACCTATTTAAGCAGTAAGCATTTTATAAGAAATTGAGGTAATCCCAGATGAGAAGCATCTTTTTCCAAATGTCTAAGCTTTTTTCTGAGAAGTCTATAGCATAAGTATTTTAAGTCAAGACACTTCTTTGATTCATGTATAACATAATTTAGTAGTTCATTGGTTGTCTCATCTTCGAAATTCCTCACAAAGACCTCCCAATTTTGAGCCCTTAAATCAGCACCAGAAATGATAAGTATATCGACTAATACCTTGCTTCCTTTTTGACATGCATAGCACAAAGGGATAAGTCCATGGTCGTCACGTTTGTCCAAGTCACAACCTGAAACAATAAGTTTCCGAACAAGATTTTCTTGCGTTGAAATTACTGCCCAGTGTAATGCACATCGACTCCCTACACCAACAGCATTAACATCACTTCCACGCTCTATCAAGAGCATAATCAAATCTATTTTGGAACATTTTTCTCTCCAGCCTAAATATCCTGTAAATGCGGTTCCCACAGAAGATAGTTCTTCAGCATGTAGCTCCAGAGCAGACAGTTGTGCAGCGTAGAGCAATGCTGTATTTCTAAACTTGTCGCGGTGGTTAATCTACAAAAGAAAGAGGATTTTAGGATTTCATATGAATTAAAACATTAGAATAGTAACACGTATTACAAGTATTATTTGCATTAGTTGTAAGTAAGTTATGCAGTATATGATGAAGTATAAAGCAACAGAAATAAATTATCAGCCTCTTGTTCAAAAATGCATAAAGAGAAGATTTCACACACACAAATTCTGCAAATCGCTAACAATGCCATCTGTTGAATTAAATATTCAAATTTTTCACGTATTTTTATGTCCTTTTTCATATATACTATATTACCCGCGTAATTTTCCCTTCATGTTTACTATATTTTTCTGTATGAAAATCGAGAAGGGAAAATTATGTGAATAATTTGATTTCCAAAGGATGTGATTATAGCAAGAATATTACAAATTGAATGTATTCTTGGATTAAACTATTGATAAAGATTACAATATTATTGTTTTAAAAGACACCTACATTCCAATAAGAATACTGCAGTACATTCCATCTTAACCGGCTTTCGTTTAACCTTATCTCCGCTTTAACGGGCCTTAATTAATTTAAGTATGAAAAACAAAAATTTAAAAAAACACATATTACAGTGTGAAGCTCTGTGTCATCATTCAAATGTCTTAATGGATTTCAAGCTGCTGATTTTCAAGATGTAGAGCAGTGGTTGACCGCTGAAAGGAATTTTCAGCAAGAAACTTTGTAAGATAACGACATCATCGGAGATGTCGCCGATATGATTTACAATAATGATGACTCTGATATCAATTACAATGCTGCCATGGTCATATCACATATAGATGAAGCAAAAGCATTGGAAATGGCTTTATCTAATAACAGACATCGGCTTCCTCTACTGACGTCATACTTTTAGAAAATGGCGACTCTATGCAGCGAGCCACTGAATTGCCTGCTTTCAAGCAGAAAAAAATATTTAATTTTTTAAACGTTCCTACAATGTAAAAGTTTTGTAGTAAACTTGAACATTTAATAAATGCTTAGTTTATTTAAGTGCATTTTATCAATCAAATCATTTTTTTTTTCATTCTCCGCTTCAAATATATTATTCTGGTATATTTAAAATCGCTATACGTATATATCATTTATAATACTTATATTAATATTCTGACATCTGGATAAACTAAAAATAATTTCTTTTTTGAATATAATTCCTGAAGAAATATGAAAATATTAGCTATTTTCAGTACCATCATTCTGCTACTGAAAGGAGCCAGAAAACAGATCTTCCGACCATCATTTAATTGCTTAGAAGCTTAATCCATCTCTACAATCATGCAAATTTATAAAAATAACTATCACTTAAAATTAAATGTTTTAAAGCAAAATTACATGCAGTAAACATGCTACAATTTGGTACTTGAAAAATCCCTTTTAGAATATATATAAAAATTAGAAAGGATTCACTTGAAATATGTTTAGTCTAAGCATTTAACATTTAATGCACTTAATTTAATTTCATTACTTACGTTTGCACCTGCATCTAAAAGCATAGATACAATAGATATAGCATATTCCACCTTATTCAAAACTGCATTCAACAGAGGTCCTTGTTTTTGATCTTCATCCACAAAGACACTACTGCCTTGTGATAAAAGGAAATGAACAATTTCTGGACAGGTGCGTCTGCAGGCTCTGTCTAAAGGCGTGTCTCCATTATCTTGAGCTGCATCAAGAACATATGCTGGCGAGTTTTGAGTTAACAGCTTTACAATTTCTGAAAAATAATGCATACGTCAATTTTTAGCATTCAATAAAATCAGAAACAAAATATCTATCATCAATAATAGGTGCGAAAAGGAACCAAAATTACTTTTATGGAACAGCAATGTACAAAAACTATTTTTCAGCAAGTTATTAAATTAAAATAATCTTTTAAGAGATTTCTGAAATAGGAAATTTTACTGATTAAGGCGGAAAACGTGTAGGTTAAAACACAAAATATAAACTCAACATATTCAATATACAGAAGCTGACTATTTCCAAGATTCCTACTAGATATGTTTCCTTAGGTAATCGAATAATTTAAATAAGAACCTCATGAAAAATATTCCATGTATTTTTATTTCATTTAATAAGGAGACAATTACTGAGGAAAGAACTCCTAAGAGACATAGCACGTAAGAGTTATGCAGGAAAATTAGCGGTTCATATTCCTGAAAAGAGAAGCATGTGCTACTCCTTGCTACTCCAGCTCCGCCAACTGCTGGGAGATACGTAAAATGATACTTCTAAAATTAGCTTATCGATTCTGAGGTACCACGAAAATAGTCATCGATCAACGAAATGTGTATTACAGGATACTTAGGCAGCTTCTATCCTTACATTATCAAAAAATGATTAAAAACAGGTAACAATTTTGAATCAAAATGAAATAAACAGAATTTCTTCTACATACACTCTTAGGACGGAATTTCAGTCATTATCATAAACAGGGCATGAAAACTTAATTTAGAATTCTAATTTAAACGTTAAGGGCCAGAAAAATATTTGCTGGAAAGGAGCTGAGGTGAACTTAACCAAAAATGTTACATAACGTTAGAAAAGAATCTAAAAACTAACAAAAGTTCCTTGACGGATGATTTCGGTGACGTAAAGACTCTAAGAGCTGCTTAGATTTGCATCACTAAGCGCTGAATTTAGCTTAGTCTGGCACCTTTAAAAAGAGCACTTCAGGGCCGCAGACATTATACCCTCATTTAGGACCATAGCCTGTGTCGTCTTTATCGCATAGAGGGAATTAAGAGATTTTAGCCAAGTACCGACCTTTTTTCCACTGCAGTCGTTGTCATAGTTATGAGTGACTAGGGTGATTAGTCAGGTGGGATAAAATAACTTTGAACTGTCTGTTATAAACTAGCAGACTAGAAGTCGTTGAAATCAAGATTACTATACTACAAGATTTACTCTTCTCGACCAAAAACACTTTTAGTCTACTCAAAAGCAATTAACCTTCTAAATATTTAAATTTGTTTCTTCCTTTGATCCATTAATGGATCGGTGGAACCAGAGAAAGTTGGGCCAGTCGTCACATGACCAGAGAGTAATCCATGTCTTTCTCTTCGGAGATTACTCTTTAATTTCCAACAATAAAGAATTCTAATTATTTTAAGTAGGCTGCCGGAGACATGAACTTTTTTTAGTGGGCTAAAGTACGTTGCATTTCAACTGGAAAGCATATCCCTCCGATGGATATTACTTGCATCTACAAAACACTACATCTGGCATCTGTACTCAGTACATTAAATTGAATTCATAGCCTATAAATTCGACATTACTGAGAAGAGAGTTGGAAATAGTTTTAGCTAACAACTTAAAATTATATTTAGACATTAAATAAAACATAGCAACTATACACATAGCTAAATTCTAAATGTGTGGAAAGGTAATTTTTTGTTGTATATTTTTGTCTTTGCCAATTTACATTAATATCCATTACGTTTTTTTTAATAAAATATGCTCCTTTTAAGTCAAAACAAATGCTGGAATGAAATTATCATAATCATTTGCTGGTAAAAATATATACCCTTTAACTATGAATGTTTAAGCTTTGAAAAGGACAAAAAAAATGGCTAATGTTGCAAGGTTTTAAATACCTGTTTTTATATCTATTTATTTAATACATAAAGCCAAATTCTAAACAGAAAAGGTTGTTAGAGTTTTTAAAAAGTTTCGAAAGGTTTAATGATCTCAACCTGGATATAATGAATCCTTCCAGCTTTTATATCAGTTTCTGTTCATTTTCATCACTCTAAAAGCGATTTCAGTTCTCCTACTCTGCAAAGTTCCAATTGTTCAACGAGTTTCGCATTGTTGTTCACTTAAGAATTTCATCTTTAAAATTTTTATCCTGATTATTTAGATATTATTCATGATTATTTGGATTTTGCAATTAATTTTTATTTTTAATATAGACTTTATATAAATAGTATTTTTATGATACCATAACTGTTCTCAATTCCTCGCTCGCAGCATTGAGATTTGTCACCTCTAGGCAGCATCTTACTAGATATAAATGTGCCTTTATTGCACTATAATCTTTGGAATCATTGACCTCAGAGGAGAATAAAGAGGAAATGCTGTTGCCAAACATATAATAAAGGCTACAGTTATCCAATATCCATCTTCATCATTGTGGAGAATATCAGCAGCAGAAATGTACTTTTGTATGGTAATATATGTATATTTTAAGCAATGCAAATCATTATAATGTATATATATATATATATATATACACAAACACACATGCGCAATGCTAATAAACAAGCAAACAACGAAATAAAAGGTAATTTTAATCTGTATTATTTTATCAAATGGCTAGTTTTTCAACTAATTTCTCTCACCATCCACGTATTGTATGCTCTTTCTCTCGTCGTCGGCCCGAGCTTGCAACAATAGTATATGCTCTCTGAATTTAATTGCAGGTACTAATTGAAAATCTATAAAATTATTTGGGTACTTATTGTACTTGCACAGCACTAAATAATTAATTAAAACTCATCACGCAATGCGAAAATAAAATGATAGTGATTAAAGACATCTCAAGTGATTTATTATAGTACAAGAAAAAAAGTACAAGGAATTCCTACCACAGCCCACGCAGTTGCATGCATTGAAAGAACATGCCACTTTCACCGTACTGCATATCATTGCAAAATGATGTCATGGTTTTAGAAAAGTAGGCGGTATTTTGTAATTTCCATTCCACTGAAATAGTAAAATGAACCTACATGCAACTTAAAACAGCAGTCTCCATAAGATCGGATAACATTGTTTGCTATGATTCTTGCAAAGAGATTGGACTAGGCATAAGAGTAATATTTATGTAATAAGGCAAAATTTAAAAGTTAGTTTAGTTTTAAAATAATTCAGACAATAAATTTCGAAGCGTATCTATACTGGCTATTTTTTTTTTCAGACCCCTCTTTTGAGATTCTTGGTTTTAATAACCAGGGAAACTTTCCAGATTTCCTCAATGAGTTCGATATTGTAGCAAAATATTCAGCACATTAATTGCTAAGGTAATGAGAAAATAAGATATGAATATATAAAAAACAATTTTAAGATTACCTAAAGATGTTCTATCGCATGCAATATGTAGAGGCATTCGTCCTTCTTCATCTGTGCTGGTAACGTCAGCTCCCTTTGCTAAAAGCAATTTGGTCAACTCGTAATCTGAAATCTGAGCGGCCACACGAAGTAAAATATTGCCCAGTTCATCACAGCACTCTCCATACCAAGGTAAGGAAATTAAGAAGTTTTCTGAAAATACAAATTGCCCAAAGTGAAAATCTATATAAATCTTATAAGTGTAAATTCATGTGTAATTTGTTTAAAAAAATATTCATAAAGATGGATTTTATTAGCATAAATCAACATTTATTACAAAAAATTATAAGTTACTAAATACAAAAATTACTGCCGCAAATAAAATATTAAAACTGTGTTCTTAAAGTATATACCTGAATATAAAGAACACCGCCCATTGACATATTAACCAATATATGTAAAACCTGAATAATGAAGAATTGAAGTTAGCAGAGGATTAAAAAAAAAAATGCGATGTGCTGGATGTTCGTATATTTAACTACTCATAACAGAAATTCATTCATAAATTGGAATTGTTTCATTCATAAATGGGAAATAGAAACAGCATGAAAGGAAGAATTCTTATTTTATTTATACAATAGTTTTGTTTCATTAGACGAAATCAAATACTGGAATATTTTCATAAACATTCTAAATGTAAGGCTGTAACTTTTGCTCCCAAATAATGATTTATTAGAGAATATATGAAAATTAATTCAAAATGCTTCCGACCTTAAAATTTTTTTCTCAAGGCCCGTGAGTTTCCCGAATATCATTGCTTGGTGTGGGATTACCATTTCCAAAAGAATTCCAAATAGACTTTAATTTGCTTTATAACTTTTGATTCGAGTTATTCGGCTATTTGTAATATGATTCTGAGTTAAAATAATTGAAATTTAATTAAATGCTCTACATTTAACATTTTTCGGCTAATTTCATTTTGTAATATTTCACAGTTTGGTACTGTTTTAATGACGGTACTGAAGTTTCGTTCGACACAAACTATTAATTCAACAGCCAGGTGACGCTCACGTTAATGATGAAACATTGCATGAAAATTTATTTACATAATATACAATATTTGATAACAAAAACTGTTCGGCATCTACCTTCGAATCATTAGGTCTGAACCTGCATCACTGTATTGCTTCTTTATGCAGAAATCAAATTATTTGGAAAATAGAATGTCTGAAGCACCGCTTAACGGCTGGCATTTTGAATTCATAACATATAATGAGAAAAATCTTGAGTAAAGAAGGAAAGTGATAATTTATCAAAGTTCATTTAACCACCCTAAAAGTAATGATTAATGTAGACAGAGTACAAAATGGGGTGAAGGAGAAACAGTTCCCTATCTTCTGCTCTTGGACTAACTGACAAAATTCGACTTGCTTTTTTTATGTCTTAAAAGTCCGACGTAGGATATATATATAACATTTATCCCATACACAGGTAATTTGATAAAAAATAGGCTTTTTTTTTCTATAATGACAGTTTTCTTTTCAAATTTCGATCCTTTCCCTCCTATTAGACCAAAATGTCAAGTTTTTAAAAAATCTCCCGTTTAGTTTTTAAAAAATTCTGTCTTAAAATTTTAGCTCCTCAGTATCAATCGAATTTGATATATATCACATTTAATAATACAGTCAAAAGTCGTTAATCCAGACTCGTCAGGACTTCGGCGATTCCGGATTATAGATCATCAGTTTAAATCTCGTAAGATGGCATGCAGAAATTCTAAAATTAAAAATATGAAACCGTAATTTATGAAATAAAGAACAATTATGATCTAAAGGGTATCAAAATTTACAAAAAAAAAAAAAAAAAAAAAAGCTTAATATTTATTTGTTTACTTTATTAAACATTTCTTTCAATGTAAGTTGTTTAAGTTGCTTTGTTTTATGTGATAATACTTTCTCTTTAATTCTATAAACAGACATAATTTCTTGTTCAGTTACAAAGTTCCGCTGTTCAAGTCCCGTTAATTGCTGCGCCAAGAATACCGACTAACTTGTCAATCGAAATTTTTTCGTTTTCACTAACCTCTCTGTCACACTCTTCATGTCTTTATCCATTTTTTGCAGCAATTCCACTTTTTGTTTGATGGACATCGAAACATACTTTCGTTTTGTATGATCCTTTGGGAGCTCCAGAAACGGAAATTCTATTTGACATAATCGAAAGTTCAAGTTTACATTTATAGTATTGCTCTTACAGGCTGCAAAAAATAATAAGCCGGATCCAATTCGTAAATTAAGGAACAACGCAATCATCAATATTAACTGAAATAGATAATTAGATAATTTTAGCTTATACCGTCCGTTACACATAAAATGCTCATGCGAAAATGTATTCTGCACTTGTGCACACGCATATGCGCAGACATAAAAGGTCTTACGCGCACGCGTAAACGCCTCTGCGCATTGGCCAACACGCCGCATGCGCAGAAAGTTTTTAGCTTTGAGGTCCGAATTAACGACTTTTGACTGTATATCTCTTTTTTTAATTACCTTATTTCGTTCCTTCTTCCAAAATTCGAAATTTAGGATAAATCCAAACAAAATTTGCACATTTTTTAACACATTCGCTGCCACCAAAATTTATATATCCATCCTCAGACGCCGAATTTAAAAAAAGTGTTTTAATGATTAAAAACGTTTCTAATATTTTAATAGTAAAGCCAGAAAAAAAGAAAAACCTTTTATTTTCGTGTTTAGTGTAAAAAATTTCGGACGCTCTACAGCGTCAGTGGCCTCACGTTCAACTTATTATCTGTATGCCACTGACGCTCTGGCGCGTCTCATCATTTTTTCTGCGAAATTATTGACACATTATATAAAGTCACAGTTTAAAAGAAAATAAACGTTAATTGGATAAAGAGAAGTGAAATTTATGAAAAATTATAAAATGTAACAGTAAACATAAAATATGTATAAATGTAAATGTAAGATTATAAAATGTAACAAATATTGTATAATATACATAAACAACATAATAGAAAATGAAAAAAAAAAATTAACCTTATCAAACAAAATGTCAGTGTAGAACAGTACTGCATAAATATATTATCACTTATGGTATATTTCACAGCAATTCAAGCAATATCCTGGCTTGTCAGGACAGTCACGGCACTCATACGTAGTGTCCATGCGTTTGCCTTGAGAGGAACAAGATGTACACCTTTTCTTTGTATTTTGGTTTTACCAGGTGCAAGTTCTCTTTTCGAAGAGATGTCTGAGATTCTTGGGAGTCGGCTTTTGTTCGTGTTGATGGCAAAAGTGATTTTACAAACGTTCAGTCGGGTTACTCGTAAAGTGATATTTTTTTTTTTCCGGAATATTTATTATAAGAGCATGCATGTGAATTCATTAGCATTACTTCAATAGTATGAAAGAACAATTTTTTATACCAGCGTAGTGATTTTCTCTCCAAGAGATAATATGACAGCATTTGATCTTGCGATCTACACCAGACTAAACGCATTATATTTGATGATTGGCAGAGGCTTCTGCTTTATTTCATTTCGTTTATTTAAAATGGTCAACCATTCATTTTTGTATCCGTAGAAATATAAGACACTTCACGCTATCTTTCCATTTTCCGATCATTACTCCCTGACAATACCTTTCAATAGTATCGCCTTTCGCAATTTAGTAGTTTGAACATTCTTTGGAGTGTTTTTCGAGTGGTTCTCAATGTGCCTGTGCAGTGTGTCTTTTTATCTAACAGTAACTTGGCCAAGTCAAAGCTATTATAATAATTGTCATGAAAAACATGGTGACCGACATTTAATTTTTCATTCAGAAATGCAAAACAATTTTTTGTGTATGGTTTTGCCCTCCATAGTCATCTAATAAACCAGTATACACGGCAATCTTTTGCACTATTCCACTTGATGTGCTCAAAATAAAAGTTTTATACCGTACTTATGTCTTTTATTCTTTATGTATGGCGAAACAATAATCTACCTCGCCAGAGAACCATAGATTCATCCAAAGAAATTCTCTATTAGGATAATATATCTCGCACATTCTTTCGTTAAAAAAATCGATAACAGGGCGTATTTTATATAACCTGTCTGTAGGTTGAGGTTCTCCAGGTTCACTATTTTTTGCAAAATGTAATGCACGTAAAATTAATAAAAACCGATTTCGGCTAATGCTATTTGCAATGCCTGCATTATGAAATAATGGGTCCTTCTTCCAGTAGTCCCCATTTGCAAGAATGCTCCCAAAAAAACTAAAAATTCATCCACTTTTAAATCTTTCCAAAGCGTTATTCGTGACTTTTCTTTCGTTTTATCGCTATTTTGTATTTCTAATGCGTAACGATTTGTTTCTTCGACTATTTTTTCCAGAAATACTTCAGTGAGAAAAAGGCGAAAATATCCGATAGGAGTACTTTCAGTTGGCTGTATTAGCAAGGACTCAGATTTTGTAAATGTATGACTTACCATGCAACTTGAATCTGTTTTCCAGTCAACCTGTCGGATTACCGGTAATTGTTCATCTTCTGTGTCAGAATCCGACATTTCTAAGTTATCCACAGCGACATCACTATCTCCTTCCGATTCGCTCGTAGAATCCCAACCGTAATCTTTATCGTCTACGCTGTCATAATCAGAAAGATCACTCTTTTCTAGTAATTCTAATATTCGGCATCAGTCGTTTTTTACTTACTTCCTTTTCTTAGGCTGTGAAGGTCCTGCAATACTGGTTACTGTCCGCCATTTTAAAAATGCAAAAAAAAAAAAATTTAAACACAAAATTAAAACCACGCACTGAAAATATAAAAATAATGCTTCACTAACGTGCCACAAAAACATCATCGTTCAACCTCCAAATCTGAACTAAAACTAAAGCAGTTTACTTATCATACTCGATTGTCGCCCCAGAGCGTCACCGGCATGGGAGGTAGCACCATGCTGACGCGCCGGCGCGTCAGTGGCAGCGAATGTGTTAATATTTGTTTTAAACTTTGATATTAAAACCTAAGATTTAATATTAAAATATAAAACATTTTTGCCACCATCTTAAAGTAGATATATTTTTAGGCATGCGTGCAAAAAATTTGTTTTATATTCAGCATTTTTTAAAATATACGTGAATACTGGTACGTTATGAAATTTGACATTTTTATTATAAGCGATAATAACGGCAAATGCAATGCGATTA